ATTGCCGTTCATAGTCTAATTGTACGGATATCTTTACACTTCTCTTCAAAATGATATTCCGAGCACCGGTTATGAGTACCATCTATACTGCATTTATAAATTATGATATCACTAATAATTGATAGGGTAGATGTATAGCTAGCTACACGTCCCGGCTGCTTTACTCCCTTGGGAAAGAGCCCACTGGCATTCATTGCATAGGTTGCTGGGTGAATCCGAGAGCTGGCTTTGCCCCCGCCCCCATGGAATTGAACCCAGGTACGCCCGTTACTCGGTATAGTGACTTAGTTTAATTAATTATGCCAGTCCTTACGATGATTCATTTCGAGACAATATTCCGGTATTTGAATTCGTGGCATCAAATAATGATTTTTTTGCTTGCAGCTCTTACCCAATGATAACCACAGATTACTAAAGATACAGATGCAGTTATTCTTAGTTGGAGTTTCTTGATACCGAACGTAAATAGGCGTAAAACGTCGTTTCAGGTGAAAATATTAAACATTCTAGGATAACTTCTCTAAGAATTTGCTCTTTTTATAATTTTAGATAAACTTTTAACACATTAAAGTGGGTTCTGAAATCATGAAAAGTATAGATGGAAGGTGAGCTGGGGTGTCGCTGTTATCTGCCTATTGTATACCAGGCTTTGGCCTACTCCAAACCATCACAGTAGGCTCTGACAAGTTTCGTTGTGACCCTAGAACACATACCCTTACTGTTGGCAATCCTTATTTCACTTGGATTGTCACAATTTTGTATCCAAGGCACCGAGTTGATTGATTCAATGAAATAATACGCAGTCCGTCCGTCTTATACATTTCAACGTCTTTACCATTATGTGTGGGTGTATTTGGGATGCATCTCATCAAGATCGCGTCCCTTCGTCTCAGGGACGAAGCATACCACAAAGCAGAGCCCTCCGACTGAAATGGCCGCGTACAACCAGTACGCCCCGTGCAGTCCGAGAACTTGCTGGAAATCTACGAAGGTTTTGACACCAACGAAAGCGCACACGTAGCTGAAGGAGGTAGCCAAGGCGCTGCCCAAGCCGCGGTATTCTAGCGGAAACAGTTCACCAATCAGCAACCACGAAATGGGGCTGATACCTAGAGAGAAAGCCACAGTGAAAATGAGAACGCACAGTAGAGGGATCCAGTCGTGCTGAGCCGCGGTCAGGCATCCGTTACGGTGCTCCTTGTGTACGTCTTCATAATACGCGAAAGATCCGAACCCGGCTAGAGCCATAGACATGAACATACTGCTCGCGATTAAAAGCGGGAGGCGGCCGACGATATCGATCAGAAGTCCGGAGACGCAAGAGGCCAACAGTTGAACGAAGCCAACAGCCACGGCTCCTCCGTGCGGATTCATGCAACCAGTCTGGCGGAAGATGGACACAGCGTAAAAGTTGAAGGCTGTGGCCCCAGAGAACCTCTGGAAGAACATTAGACCGCAGGTGGTGAGCACCGGCCTCAGGACGCGTGACGTAATGGTGCTGAAGGTGTTTCGGCATCCGTCGTCGTACTGCCTGCTGGCGATGATATTGGTGCGGATAGTGGCGATCTCGTGCCCCACGTCGATCTCAGGGCCTCTTAGCCATTGTAGAGACCGTGCTGCCTCCTCGTCTCGACCAACGAGCACCAGGTAGCTCGGTGTCTCAGGGATGTACAACACGGTGGCGAACAGCATTATGGGAGCTATGGCCACCACCATTGCCAGCTGGCGCCAGTCGAGGTATGCTCCCACGGCGAAGCTGATGAGCATGCCAATGTGTCCCACGATCTTTAGCACCGCGCTCAGGCACCCACGGATATCCGGCACCGAGATCTCGCTGATGTACACCTGCAGCACAGTCCCATTATCGGCTGAGAGAGACACACACTGACTTATATCATTTAATAAGAAACATGTATGGAATCTGAATAGTCATTATTGATTGTTTTTTGCATTGCGACAGCATATAGACACGCAAATTATTTTTCTGTCTAGCTCAGATTCAAGTTTTATTCCTTACTCTTTCATATAGGTCATTTTCTGCGTTCTCCAAGTGTGGAAGGATACTTTTACCATTCAAAAGACTGTTGTCATAGAGTCCAGTTTCAAAGAAACTGTAGACCAAGTTCATAACTTAAGCCAATTGGATCAAATCTATACATTCACGTCCTATTTCTTTCAGTTTCATATTACAATTAGTCTCCCATCTTTGCCTTTGGTCCCGAAGTCGAGGCTGTTATGGTCATGGTAGATGGCTGGAACCGGATCCAGGTCTTGCCGATGGCGTTCTTTGCTATTAACTGCGTTGGACCTTAGTGTTAAGGCTACTATTGCCGGAGATCTGCTGAACTAAAATACGGAAGGAAAACAAGGAATATCCTCACGATTAGTACGTGGAAGTCTGTCATAATTTTAGGTGTAAATGCGTTACTGCTTGTGATGAGAATTCCGTTATTGAT